CAGCGGTCTGTCCAGCGGCGGGGAAGACAGCGATCTGTCCAGCGGCGGGGTAGACAGCGGTCTGTCCAGCGGCGGGGTAGACAGCGGTCTGTCCAGCGACAGGGCGGACAGCGGTCCGTCCAGCTGCCGACTGACGGACAGTCTTGCGGAAGCAGGGCGTGTCCGGCACAGCTGTCCTCTTGTGGTGAGGCATGACTTGTGTTTAGCTATGCCAGCTAGTTAATGCACTGATCCTCGTGTAGGGTCACGACCAGACTAATCAAGTCCAGCGTCAGACAGTTTAAAACGGGTACACAAGACCACATCTGCGCATTGGTGATACAGAACTACCAGACAGCAGTGCCCAGTCGTGTCTTGCTGGCAGGTCTTCATCAACACCACCGGGCAGACCGGTTTTCCATTCGCGGCCCGCGTCAGCTGATTTCCAGTAGTGTCCGCCTATGGGTCGCTTTGAAAACGTTCGGCGCGAGCAGTGCTGAATCCCGTGCATTTGAGGTGATGTCTTCTTGATTGCTGTTATTTATGAATACAGTCATGAAATGAAATTGCGACACGAGCAGCATTCGATCTGAGCCATTCAACACGCGTGGCTGCACCTTCCATCACACACCTGCATGTTTGCTATGATTTGGTACAAATGAGACATTTTACGTTCGCACGGTTATGCAGAGTGAATGCGCAACAAACAAGCAAATGCTATGTTGTATGACGATCTAGACATCTAGACGTCCCTACATCGACCGGTGATAATGTCCTCCTCCGAGCCGACATCCCCGAGCATAGCGCCATTCCTCAGCGGAGCGCCATCCCTCAGCGGAGCGCCATCCCTCAGCGGAGCGCCATCCCTCAGCGGAGCGCTACCCCTCAGTGGAGCGAGTCAGCTGGAGCGCTCCAGTCGGCCCACGTCTCTGGCATGTTAGTCGCCGCGGCTGGAGCGGCTCCGGAGGCGACTCCAGCGGCGGCGGCGGGCCCAGCCTCTGCGTGGCAGTGGCCAGACTCCCCTGGGAACGCGGCGAGCCGCTTCCGTGTTCCGTGTGAACGGAGCGGCGGCGGCCGGCGATGGGCGCCCCGCCGGCGACGACCGGCCGGCCGGCAGGTGCGGCGAGCCGGCTGCCGCCCACTCGCGCTCACTAACGGCCCGGGAGGCGCTCACTCCCGCTCACTGACGGTCGGGGAGGCGCCCACTCCCGCTCACTGACGGCCGGGGAGGCGCCCACTCCCACTCACTGGCGGTCGGGGAGGCGCCCACTCCAGTCCAATGGCGTCTGACGAGACGCTCACTCTTGTTACTGACAGCTCACTGATGACACTGACGGGTGAAGAGGCTCTCACTTCAACTCATTCCCGCTCACCGACGATTCACTTATGATGGAGGAGCTCACTTGGGCTCACTGACATGCGGGCGGCAGTCATTCCCGCTCACAGAAGGACTCCAGATTCTCACTCGCACTTACTTCAGTCTCTCCCACTTATTACCGATCGGGCAAGTGCTCACGCGGTCCCTGACGATCGAGGAGGTCCTCACGCGGTTCCTGACGGCTGTGGATATAGTCATCTTAAGTGAGTGATGGTTAAGGAGGCGCTCACTCCTAGCCACTGACAGCCGAGGGAGCATGTGCATGTGTCTAGTGGAAATGTTGCCATGGCATCCCTGCAAACTACCTAATGAAGTGCTGTTTACTGCAGCTCATCAGCGTCCAGGAAGTTATTCATCGCCCATGATGACCAGGAAGTCACCCATGCACGCCGCCGTGCTATTCATTGTATATGTCTGTGTTCTGCTCTCTTCCGCTTACCGTTTTGTACCGTATATCCATTCTTGAACGGCCATGACTGGCTCATCGTAAGCTAGGAGGTGTGTGAAGGTGTGGAAGGGGCTGGAAAGCTGTGAAAAGCGCTTTCCAGTCGGTAACATTTTTATGTTTTATTCAATGTGCGAGCACTCCTCATCTTTCCAACCCCTATCGCTGGTCAGCTGACAGGATATTCACTCCCACCCGCGTGGGGCCAAGTCGACCATCCCTGATATCCCCCCCCCCCCCCCCCCTGGTGCGGCCGCTGCCAGAGACCGGTCGGTTGACCTAGCGGTAGTGCACGCGAGGCCCGAGCCGACTTCGAGGAAATGTCTTAAGCCTAAAGCATATGCATGATTGTGATTACGACCGATACGTTGGAAAGGGCACCGTTACTCAGAAATCGTGAGCTATGGAGTATCGGTATCAAGCATCTAAACGGATGTCTGTGATTTCATCTTACTCATTGGATTAACATGACATGTAAGGCCGTTGTGTGGCGATGAGTTTGCCGATTTTGGACCATTTTGAACTCCTGGTGCATGATAATGTTGCGAATGTTTTAAAGGCGGACACAGCTAGGGACATCACGTTTCCAGACCCAATTTTGTCCAGCGATGCGCTTTGGCTCATGATATAACGTGCCAGAGAGTGAATTTGTGCCAACTGTTTTTGATTTGAGTTATACATCTTGCGACGAATTAAAAATAGTAGAAAAGCTATTGTGTAGAAAGTCAACCCTGTGCTGCCTCATTTTTTAGGGAACACATACTAATGAGAATGAATAACATTAAAATGAGCATTGCCCAAAGCGACGAACGTCCCCTAAAAGCCGATCAAAGGTTACAAAGAACTATTTGTTTGTTTAAGCTGCGTGTATCAGAAAATCCAATTTCGCTCTAAAAACACACTCTGCTACGGTGGATGCGTTATCCAGTCTCACATGTGAAGAGCTATGCAAAAGTGATTGCGTTTTTTATGCAGCTTTTTCAACGAAAGCCCACCCTATGTTTCGCCAGTAAGCGAGCTGATTTTTGGTCCGCATCGAAGAGGAGCGGATAGCAATCAGCGGTCCACATCGAAGAGAAGCGGGTGGCAATCAGCGGTCCACATCGAAGAGAAGCGGATGGCAATCAGCGGTCCACATCGAAGAGAAGCGGATGGCCGGAGGTGCCGTGGAACGGCGGCGCGGCGGGCGCGGACGAGCCGAGCTGGAGGCTACGTCCCGCCCGTGGCGGCCGCTGGGGCCGAGCTGCGGCCGCGGAGACTGCGGCGGCGCACAGCACACCATCGAGACTGCGTCGCCGCGTCTGAACACAACACCACGGGCCGACCCACCCCGCTCGCGTGAGCGGCCGCGCGGATCGTGGGAGCACGCCAGCCGACGGCGCACTTCATGCAGATTTCGTCCCTCCTCGGCAGAATCCCGCGAAGATCAGCACCTGCGAGCGCCGTGGAACGGCTCTCCACACGCGCCGCGCCCAGCGCAGCGGCGCGCTGGCCGCCGGGCGGCCGGGCGGCCAGCGCGCCGGCTCGGCGGGCCGGCGGATCGTCTCAATAGGCCGGCGCCTCACCTGGACGCCGCTGGCGACAGCCGGGGCTCCGGCCGACACGGAGGCGGCCGCCGCCGGCTCCGCGCGCCGGCGCCGGTCTCCGCGCCCTCAGCTGTATTGATCCACAGCCATGTCGGGCGTTGCCTGCGGACGCCGTTTGCGGTGCGGTTGCGTGCCGGGCGGCAGTGTGGCGCACCACCTGCGCCGCCTTATGCTACATTTGCTGTTCACGCTGCCGGCGTTCAGGCGGCTGAACATGAGCCTGCGGAACGCAGCCTGTGTCGACATCGGGGCTCTGGAATCCGGCCCGCTCCCGCCTCGCCATCCTTACGTAGCCGTGCCGCCGCTGGGGCAGTCCACTGACCCCGCACTTGACCGCCATCAGAATTGGGATGGCAGCTAGGGAGCTGAGCGCCGGCTAACACACTGTGGCCCGTCCGCGCACGGCTCCACATGAGCGCCTCAGCCATAGCCGCCTGTTGGGCCGCGTGACACGGGAGAGCCGGCGTCTTGAGCAACCCAGCCTGCGTGAGGCCCACTCCCGCCCAGCTCGAAATGTTGCGCAACCGGAACACGCCGCGGCAACCGCAACAATACCAGCGGACGGAACGGAGAGTCTCCCGGGGTTCCGCCCCCACACGCACGAAGAGAGACGTTCGCCGCGGACGGCGCGCCGGCGGGCCGCGGCCGCCGGAGCCCCGGCTGACGTCGGAGGCGGCCTCTCGGCTCGACCCGGCGGCACGGGCGGCCGAGCCGGGCCTCCCGGCATACCTGGCCACCGCACCGGTCGCCGAGCTGTTGACCCATGTCGCGGTGGGCGGCACTTCCGTGTACCGGCCGGCCGAGATGACGCCGCAGATAGCACCTCTGCAAACAGAGCCGGGTCCGGCCCGACGCCGGGTCGGCGCCGGAATGCCCGGGTCTCGGCCGGCGCCGGGCCGCGGCCGTCCTCGGCGGCCGGCCGCCGACGCTCCGTATCGACTTTCAGCTCCGTGGCTCGGCTCTTTATTGCCAATTAAGAATGCACTGTCGACGATTTACGACGTTGGGAGATATTATTATCATTCCTGCCCGGCCTCGTACTCCATTCCGCTCGTCAACCCGTCCTATAAATAAGAGCAACCGGATTTCTCGCGTCCCATTGAGCCTAGTGGTTTCGAGGTGGCCTTCGAATGACATTTCAGTCGGCTTCCGACAGGCTGCAGCGTCGCGAGCGACCGGATCGCTGCGTTTCTATTCCGGCGCTGTAAAAAATACTTGATCGACTTGTAGCTGTACTAAAGAATGCAGATTTTCCCCACGGGCCGCCGTCCGGCGGGTAGTTAACATTCCTTTCTAGACAGGAGCGGTAAGCGAAACCGATCAATTGAGGAGGTAAAGTGAGAGACTGCGCGTACAGTCGGCCGCTCTGTCGCATCTTTGCGGGTGTTTTTCGGGCAGGCTTAACTTTTGCTGCATTCTTGCCAGCTTGTTTTCAACAGCCAAGCCAATGCATTTCCTTCCGCCGTCTTGCGCCGCGCCCTTGCCACGCGGGCCGTGGCGGTGAGAGCGCAGGGATCTGTCTCGCGGCCGCGCTCCTACCCTCGGCGCCGGCGCCGCTCGCCCGGCGTAGCGGCGCGCCGGCGTCCCCGGACAGTCCGCGGTCGGCGCCCGAGCAGTGCTGTGAGCGTCTCGCCAGCGCGCGCGCCACTCGATCTGTGACGTCACGCGCCCGCCGGCCGACCCGAGCGCGCGGTATTTGTTCCGGCGCAAATTACAGACGGGGCCGGGCCGAATAGGCGGCCTGTCAGTCGAGCCGGCGAGCAGAGCCGAACCGCGACGTGAGAGAGCGAGCGGCCGACGGACGGTGCCCAGATGCGAGTCATCCACAACAACCTGCAGCAGGCGCGCGACCAGCCGCCCTCCGTCATGGACAAGCTGCGCAACAACTTCAACCAGCTATGCCCGCTGCTACGGGCCCGCTATCGCAAGTTGTTCGACGACTACGCGTCGTCCAAGGAGAACATACCGCTGCTGATACAGAGCGCCGACTACGTGTCCTACTCGTGCTCCTGCTGCGGTCGCACGCAGAAGCTGCAGGTGGGTCTGGTGGCCTGGGGCACAGCTGACGCCGCTCCGGCTGGTCGGCGCCTGGCCCAGCTGTGTACGGTGTCGGCGCCACGCCCGCCGCCCAATGGCCCCGATACGGTTGACCGGTGGCGAGCTGCGGCCGCCGGCGGCCGCGCGCGTGCGTGCCGCCGCTCGGCCGTCCTCTCGGCGGCGGCGCCGCTGCCGGCGGCCGGCCGTTTCAGGTCAGCGGCCGCCAGATCCGGGACGGCGCGGCGCCAGCGCGCGCTCGCTCGCGCCTCTCTCGTTACCTCGTTCGCCAAACTGCTAATGCAGCTTGACCGAGTTCGTGGCGCGCCGGCCGACGCCGCTACTTTCTAGCGACGGCCGTATGTATGGGCGCCGCCGGAGCTGCCTGGACGGACGCGCCGAGAGCCGTCGGCGCTGATCCGATGCAGGCTTTATGGCTTCGCCAGACGTTCCGGCTAATGCTCGCAGCCGCGGGCCTTGCCCGATTCGAACGGGCTTCGGAAGGGCTTCGCAGAACGTTCAGTCGGTCGATTGCGTCTGGGGCTGTCGACCGCTTACAAATGGCGTGCTTTTGTGGGTCGTTTGTCGGCCAGTTATATCCTGTTCGCCAATCTTCCGCATGTTGTGATTATTTGCTTCTTTCGGGCGGAAAGATGCCTTTGTTTAGGGCTCACACAATCTCATTATTTTCCAACGCACAGCTCGTTTCGAGTGCTGGTCAAATGCATTTCGCAGACACAACCGAGCTATGCCGTTTTGAACAAACCGCAAATAGCTTACACCACTTTGCAGTGTTTTTCCCGTCAGCTTTGAACACCCCATTACTGCAACTCGCGACTGGCCAAGGCATGCCACACGTGTGCGCGCCACCATCCGCAGCCGCTCGGCGGAGGCCCTACCCTCCGAAGCGTCCACGTGGCTGGACTGCCGCTCGGTGGTCTTGTCTTGTAATCTCGGCGCGCGCACCCGACCGCCACTCCCTTATTATCCTATCTATCCTTCTAATTATATTCAGAACCTAACCTCTAATTATTCGTTTCCACTCGCCGCGACAATCAGGCAGGCAGTGCCAGTACGAATTTGCTTTTCTCCTCCTGCCACGACGCTCTTTGAGGGCTCGAGAATGCATGACCAGCCACGGCACCGGCTCGGTGGTTACCGACAATTTATTGTTCCGTCTTAATTTTCATTCTTTTGAGCTCGCCGGCATACAGGCTACCGCATCATAAGAACAATAGCACCTTCTCAGGAATTTATGCCGTCTCTTTTTGTGCGGAAATAGGGTCAGCCCGGTCGTTTAGAATTGCTGTGTGAGGCCCGCGACCCGAACGCTGAAGAAAGCGTAGTACCTGCTGGTACGAGGAACCGCTCAGGAGGCCTTGCATGGAAGTTTGTGTGTAACTGTAAACGGAATATTTGCGTGCATACGTGGCGTTAAACTCAGTCACTCATTGGCGTCTTCGGATGAGCATGCGCTTTGTCTCGCCGGATGCAGACTGCGATGGTGCGATCTCAGCACGAACACGCCCACCAGACTGCGATGGTGCGATCTCAGTGCAAACATGCCCACCACAACATCCGCATTGCGCCACATCCTGTGAAGTGACAGGGCGCAAAGGCGGAATGAGAACGTCCGCCTCACGTGCAGACGTGAGGCGCACGTGGCTTGAAAGCCGCCGCATGACTCGGCAGGCTGCGGTGCGTGCACGGGAAGGAGGTCGAGGCCGCGCCTGCGACCTCCGCGCGGGTCGTGTCTTGTCGGCTGGTGTTGCCCACTGGTCCTAACGCGACGGAACCTCGTACTTTGCAAGCCGGTGAAGGAGACTTGGTGTCGATTCGGGGCTCCACATGGTGCATGTCGTCTGCGGTGACGTCATGCGACCAGAGCTTGAGGGAGCTCATAGTTTTCGCCTTCTCGTAGGTGGCCGACAATTAAACATGCATTCCTTTCCATGTTTAAGCGTACCACCATTGCTTCGCTTAGCTCTCGCAGTTCGAAGATGGTCTCAATAGCATCGCTCCACGCCCTCAGCTGTTATCGCGCCGACTGCGCCTCTTCTCCCGGACAGCAGGCACTTTCTGGGGCTTCGCTCTCCGGCTGGGCGGTGACTGAGACGACTGTGCTCCTTCTCCCAGGCAGCAGACACTCTGGGGCCTCGCTCTCCGCCTGGGCGGTGACTGAGACGACTGTACTCCTTCTCCCAGACGCCAGTCACACTCGAAGGCTTTGCTGTGCGCCTGTTCTGTGACCGAGACGATTCCGCTCCGTCGCCCAGACAGTCTGCGGCACCGCACTGCCGCGCGGTGCCGGTGCCGTTGTGGCTGCTGAGATGTGCCGCCGCCGCCGAGCGGTCTTAGTGACGCGGCGGCAGCACACGGTCTGTCGGCTCTGGCGGGAACTCGGCCGCGGCCGCGGCGGCGCGTCACATCCCCCAGCTCTCGCGGCTCGCGCCGGCTCTCGGTGCTTGTCTCGGGTCATCTCCGCCTCCCCCCGACCTTGGCTCGAGCTGGCTCTCGGTGATCAACTCGGGTCATCTCCCCCAGATCCTCCATCTCCATCTCTCTCCAGATCTCCTTTCCCTCAGGTCTCGGCTTGAGCAGGCGTTCGGTTCTTGGCTTGAGTCATCTCTTCCCCCCTCCCTCCTTCCCCCGGGTCTCGGCTACGGCAAGCGCTCCGAGAGACAAAATTGTCTGCGCGTCAATGTGGACAGCATTGGGCTTTGCCTCTCGTTAAAGCTACCGCGGCTGAGACAACAGTACGGTGAGAAATGTAGAATGCGGCGTGGTAGATGTGGCAGCAATCACGCCAACTATCTGCGAAATTAGCACAAGGTTACGCTCCCCGGTGGAAGACGTGCCTTCTGACAGGCCTGTCCGAACGTCGGTGAGCCAGGAAGGAGACGAACTTGTTACATTTGTACTATTGGGACCCCTTGGCATGGAACGAGCCTGAGCGTTCAGACACGCTTTGCTCGAGCGGCGCGCGTACAAAAAGCAGCCGCGGAAGGCGGATCACGCATGCAGCCGAAATTAACGGTTGTTATGCACGTCTCAACAGCCACTCTAATCAGCTAAATGGGCTCTCGTCCTGCCAACACCCGGTCGATTCCAAACGAGGTCGGGCTTAACGCCGTGAGTGAGCCTTTTAATGCGGCAATACATAGCACAGCGAAGGACAAGACGCTTTCACGTACTCCGCATTTAAAGTTCGCCCGCCCAGCCGCCGTTGGTGACCTTCGTCGGCTGGTTCTGCCTCGGGTCCTCGCGCGGTGCAGTGCAGAAGACATTCCGGTGTCCCTGGGCGTGCGTTTTTGGCGCCGCGGCGGCGGCCGGCGCCGTCGCTGCGACGGCGCGGGGAGTGGCGCTGTTTTTCGGCGGCATTCCGTGCATTGCCGAGCGCCGCGGCGGGCTGCCGACGCTGCTTGCGTTTTTGCCGGAGCTTTTTAACGCGCGGCCAAATGGTGGGGTAGCGGGACAGCGCTGATGAGCCCGGTTCTGCCCGCGCGCTGTCCGGCCTCCACAGGAGCGGCAGCAAGGCCGCCGCCCGCGGCCACCTGGCTGGGAGGGAGGTGTTTGGTCACCACGGCTGGGGAGACGTATTTGGCTAACGCCCCGGCCTCTGCATCCTTGACATTCTTTACGTGTTTGGGCCACGCAGCGGGATGCCATGTTACGGCAGTGACGCAGCAGTTGAGGCGCGTCTGCGCTTGGGTGAGGCCGTGCCCGTGAGCGGCGCCGGAGCCGGAGCCGCCTGTCTCAGGGCAGTCGGCTCCATCATCCCATCCTTTGTAGGCCGCCAGCGCTGGGCCGCCGCTTCCTCCTGCTTTCCCTCACACTATCAATGTCAGAAATCAGTCAGGTGGCCGATCCTTAGAAGCGCCACGTCTATGGGGAGTTTATTGAAGTCGAGCACCCGGTCAAAAGATCTCTCCGATCTTATCGAATTGTCCGCCGCCGCGTGAATGGTGCCGGAATTCCTCGGGGGCGCGGTCTGAATGACCGCAGCCGAGTTATGCGCGTTTGATGAAGTTTGACATGCGGGCCTCGGCGGCCGTGGCTCGCCCCGCCGGCCTATTTTGGTTCGGTGCCGCTCAGCGAACAAAGGGTGTCCATGTCGACCAGCGGCCGGCCGGCGCGCGGCGGCGGCCCTTTTGTGCTGGACAAGGGGCTGTGATGGCCGCCGGCCTGGCGGTGGCCGGAGGGGCGGCGGCCGGCACCGCCCCGCGCCCGTCACGCGATTACAGGACTTGCGTACCGCCGGGCCGTGCCGGCCGCCGGGCCAGCCGGGCTCCTCGGCGCGGCCCGCCGCCCCTGGCGCGGGCCCACCACCCGCGGCCAGAGACACGGCTGTGGGCGAGGAACGCCACAGGGACACACAGGGGGCAGGGGCGGGGGATCCCTGACGGGAGTACAGCCTTCGCCTCATCTCCTGGCGAGAGGTACGGGGGTCACTGGAGGGGGAGGGACGCTAGCGACAGACCAAACCATCGAGCTGTCTCCGCTTTCGCTGCCAAGAGGGGTCGATGTCTCGTTTAACAGGTGGCTACTCAACGACCACCCAACGAGTGAACAGGGAAAATGTGTGAACCGGCTTAGCGAGCAAGCCTAATGACCAGGCGCATGGTTTTAGCAGAGGATGGTGAGCGGACTGCGGTGAGCGGTGAGCGCTGAGCGGTGAGCGGTGAGCGGTGAGCGGTGAGCGGATGGCTAGAATTGCTTGGAAAATGGCTGTATGACTGCGTGCTGTTTACTCGCTCTGAAGGGTGTTTGACGGATAGGTGGTTACGTTATAACATGTGTGCTCTTGAGGCTTAGAGCAAAGAAAATTGCACGATAATTCCCTGTCGATGATGCCACATTGCTTCCGGTGTACCGGTGCGTGCGCGTGCTTGTCCGCTGGAGGGCAAATTTCCCCGGCGCGGACTAAACGTGGCCACTAACGCTAATGACTTCCACGCTACCGTGCCGTCAATGGGAGCAATTAAATGCCGTCCAGCTGTTAT